TTTTGTTTTTTGTAGATATGAGGTTTTGCCATGTTGCTCAGGCTGGTCTCAAAGTCTTGGGCTCAAGTGATCCACTGGCCTCGGCCTCCCAAAATGCCGGGATTACAGGCATGAACCATACCTGGCCAAGTTTTTTAATGTACAGGCAAATATGAATATACGGTCTTATTCAAGTCTCCTATTATAGAAAAGATAGCACACTATACACATGAATCTGCCATTGCCTTTTCTCATAAAGAGGTATCTTGGATGTCTAGTCCATATCATAATAATAAACATTTCATGATTCTTTTTTTTGGGTACAGAATCTCGCTCTGTTGCCCAGGCTGGAATGCAGTGGCACGTTCTCAGCTCACTGCAATCTCTGCCTCCCAGGTTCAAGTGATTCTCCTGCCTCAGCCTCCTGGGTAGCTGGGATTACAGGTGCCTGCCACCATGCCTGGCTAATTTTTGTATTTTATTCTTTTTAAATAGCTGTGTTAATATTCTACTGTATTCCACTAATATTTCTTACCTACTGTGCACCAATCTCTTTGCTGGGTGCTGACTCAAAACAGGTCCTGCCTTCAAGGAGACTACAGCCTAAGAGCAAATAGACAAGCAGTTATGATGAAATATTGCAGGTGTTACTCATTCCAAAAATAGGAAGGACCAACTTCTTGTCAAGTATTGCTCTGGGCAGAGGGGAGATGAGGGAAAATAAAACCCATGAAAATCCCTGCCCTGTGGCACTTCTGTCCTAGCAGAGTTGGTGCTCTGGCACTGTGATGGGGGGGGAGGTGGGCCCATGGCGGGTCTAGGGGGTCAAAGAAAGCTGCTTGGAGGAAATGGGTGGAGTGAGAGATAATGAGGGTGGTGTTGGCAGGAACTGGTTGGATTTGAGCGGGAGGGAGAGGAGGCCTCAGTCCTCTCAACCAAAATGAGGCAAATGACCCCACCCTGGGCTGCTCTGGGACTCTCTGATACAAGTAAGGCTCAGGGCAGTGGTACTGTGCCACACCCCCAGACCCATCTCTTCATGGGCTCTCGTGTTGCCCCCTCCTCATGCTGAGTCATGGTGTCCACACTCCAGTAGGGCCTCTGCCTTCCTGCCTTGTCAGCCCGCTCCCCTCCCCGTCACACACACATACCACATGCACACAACAAATACCACACTGCACACACCACACACACATTACACCATGCATACACACACAGCCCTCATATCACACACCACATACCACACCACACACCACACACACGTACACACCACATACCACACCACACACCACACCAAGTATACACACCACACCATGCATACACACATTCCTCACACCACACACCACATACACACATACTATGCCACACACACAACACACACCACATGCACACACCACATACTACATTGCACACCACACACATGTACATACCACACCACATATCACACACATACATCACACACCACGAATACACACACCCCTCATACTGCACACCACATATACACACTACATCACACACTACACCACACATAAAACACACACCACATACCACACTGCACACCACACACACACACACACATGCATACATCATATACCACACCACAAACCACACACACACATCACACCACACCATGCACACACACCCCTTACACTGCACACCACAGACACTACACTACACACACAACACACAGACCACATGCACACACCACATACCACACCACACACCACATACATATCACACCATGTATACACACATCCCCCCTCACACACCACAGACACACTATGCCACACACACACTACACATGCACACACCACATACCACACCACACACCACACACACAACACACACCCATCACACCACACACCACACACATACTACACCACACACATACACACGCCACACCTGTACACACCACATACCATGCCACACACCACACACACATCATACCACACATACACACACACCCCTGACACCACACACCACATACACACACACACACCACACATGTACACACCACATACCACACTGCACACACATGACACACACACCCCTCACACTGCACATCTCCCACACACACCCACCACATGTGCATACACCATATACCACACCCTACACCACACACACATTACACCACAAATACCACACACCCCCAAACACCAAACATACCACACAAGCACACAACACATACCACACAGGTGTGCACACATATACACACACACACACATTACATACACACATTATACCACACACACTACACAGGCACACACCATATACCACACACATGCAGGCACATATACACCCCATACCACACACCACGTACACACACACATTACACCACACATACCACCACATACCACACACCCATTATGCCACACACACACTGACACACCACACACACATTACACCACACATGCCACGCACACCACACACACCACATATTACACACATGCATATCTACTGCACCACATACACACATACATACACGTCACACTATACCACACATGCACACATACATACACACCACACGCCAGACACATGCACTCCACATCCACATGCACATCACACTGCACATGCACATACCTACACACCACATACACACCCCATACACATACACAGTCGCATCACACACACCACGGCACACACAACACATGCAAGCACACACTGCACACCCACCCACCCACACACTCACATACAGACCCCACCTACACCACACCACATACAAACACCACATACCACAAACATACAACATGCCATTCACACACAACACAGACATCATGTACATCACACATCATACACACACACCATGCACACCACACACACACACCACATATGCACACACCACACGCCACACACATGCACACACACACCCCCCACACCATATACACACACATTACACCACACACAACACACCCCACATGCACACACCACATACCACACTACACACCACATACACACACTACACCACATATACCACACACCCCACACAGCCCCCCACAACATACCACACATATACACAACACATAACACACCACACACCACATACACACACATTACACCACATATACCACACACAGCACACACATCACATACACACAATACATACCACATACATGTCCACACATGTGCACACAGGTACACACACACACCATACACCACATACACACACATTACACCACACATAATGCAAATACATGCACACACATACATCACACACACCACACACACTACACATGCACACACCACATACTACACACATGCATATACACCATACCACATACATACACATGTCACACTATATACAGCACACATGCACATACACCACACCACAAACCTTACACATACACACCACATACATACACACAGCACACCACACACACCACACATGCACATAGCTCCACACCACACACACATCACACCACACACATCACACATACAGACACACACTGCACACCCACCTACACCCATCCACCCACACACTCATGCACAGACCCCACCCATACCACACCACATACAAACACACATCATACACACACACCACACACCGCAAACACACAGCATACTATACACACAGAACACATATATCACACACACCACACCATACACAGACACACATCAAAGACACACATATACTACATACACACCACACCATACACAGACACACATCAAAGACACACATATACTACATACACACCACACCACACACACACACATACACACCCCACATACCACCCCCAGACATGTACACAATCTTGGTACAGGCCATTGCCCTCTGCAGGAGCTCAACTTCCTGCCTAGCCTGGCCAGTCCTCACCCATCCTTAGGGAGCCTCCAGGAATGCACACAGCCCACCGTCACGCTAGGCCTGCCATGCAGCTCTCAGCCAGTCCGGTGTCACTGCCCGTGTGGCTGTTCTGAAGCCCCCACGGGACTGTGAGGTCCCAGGACTCCCATGCCGTGGGTGCCACCTGGTGCCTGACCTTGCAGGGACCTGCTTGAGGCCTTGACCGTGGCTGGTGGATAAGGCAGGCCACCAAACGCGCAGTGAGGGTTGGGGACCTCTGTTGAGTGGGAGCAAGTGGCAGGAACAGTCAGCATTTCCCCAAATCCCTGTGGGAGGTTTGGCACCCACCCTGGCCTAGCCCATGTTTATCTGGTGATAAGATTTAGTTTTGTTTTTTCCCAAGCCCCAAGGGCATGTGCCACCCAGAGCCGTGGCCTGGATTCCCTCTGTTGTTCAGTGGCTGCCTGGAGCTGCGCTTCGCAGTGGGGCTGTGCTGGGCATGGGGTGGTCTTAGGCATCCTGGCCCTCTTCTTTACAGGGATGGTAAGGAAGGGCCCCAGATGTGCTGCCTGTACACCCCCATCCAGGCTCCAGTGGGTGCCACTTGTCCCGGCCGCAAGTCACAGCCCCCAGATGCTGCCTCCCTCTGCCAATCCCTGCACCTGCTGGGGTGGGCACTGAGGGCCAGTCCCAGACTCGGGAGTAGCGTGGAAGGAGGGTGGGGGTTGGTGCACAGGGAGGGCCTCTATGTGGCCCTTATGGCTGACTCAGTTCCCTCTGCCTTGGGGATGGGCCAAGGTGTCCCCTAGTTGTGACAGAATGGATGCTGCGGGTTCTCAGTCTCTGCAATCCCCACCCTGCATTTGGAACATTCCGTCCTGACTCTGAGGAAGGTGAAAAATGTGTGGTTTGGGCCTCGCATTGGATCTCGGCATAGCTCTGGCTCCTGCAGACTCAGAGTCTTTTCCATTCTAGCTGCAGAGTGTCTGAACTCATTGTTTGCTAAGGACTGATTTCATAAATGAGTGACCTGCCCTCAGCGGGGCCCATCCTTGACCGAAGGCTCTGTTGCTGCTGTCTGGAAACTCTTAAGAATGTCTGAACAGCTTTTCCACTTTGCGCTGGGCCCTGTAAATTACATAGCCAGTCCCAGTGCACTTTTAGTTGTCTGCCCTTTAGCATCTTTTTCATGTCAAACCATGTAGATTATTTTTAAAAATATCAAATCTAAGCAGCACAAAAAATCAAAGAAGACCACGTCTTATTTGTTGTGCACCTTTAGAAATGCTCCACTTGTCATTGCAGTGCACAGGCTGCGGGGTACACACTGCACGTGAAAATCCACACTCTGCCTGACTCCCAGGACAGCCCATGTGATGTGCAAAGTGCCATTCCCATGGGGCTCATCATTTTTCCCCGGGAGCTTGAAGGACACAGATAGAGCTGTGCTCTAGGCTGCCGGCGCCCCGCCCTCCCACCGTTCCCGAGCTGGCTCCATGCTGGTGTCCAGAATGAACCAGTTCACACTCCAGAGCCAGGTGGGGGGAGAACTGGCTCCCAAATCCCCCTGTGGGTCTCCCCCTGATCCCTAGGTGTATCTTCCAAGTCACATGACAGTCACAGGTGAACATCCCCTGCTCTGCTTGGAACTCAGAGATGGATACTTCTGGGTAGACAGAAAGATTCTGTGGTGGGCATGGACTTGGCCATTGAAGACCCCGAGAAGACATCTTGTCCACCCTCTCCAGGATGGGCCCTGTCCGTGCTGCCTGGAGCCGGAAGAAAAAGATTCCAGCCTTAGAATCTGCAGGGATGGAGGCTTCATCAGCTCTCTCACATCTCATTCCAGTATTTCTTGACTGAGTCATGTATGTGGAAATTTTTGCTCATTTCTTACTAGGCTTAAGGAATTGGAATTCTTTGTCTCACAAATCCCAAAGGGCCGAACGTGCCACAAGCCGTGAACAAGGTTTGAGCATCTGAAGGACGAAAACACAGCTCGCAGGTGTTGATGAGCATCCAGGCTGCTCAGCCGGGATGAGAAGGAGCACTGCTGCCCTCTGGTGGTCAGACCGCAGAGCATCAAGGAGCCGCCCAAGAGAGCTAGGTCCCCCCTTTGCTTTGTTTCTGGGACAGCAGCTTTGTCTTAGGTCAATGGATGTCCTTTCACTGTTCCTGGGAAATGGCAGGTTTGTTCTTGCCTCAGGGCCTTGGGCCTTGACGCTCCCTCTCCCTGGAATGTTCTTTCTCCAGCTCTCAGGTGGCAGCTGCCTTCTCATGCTCTAGCCCTCAGACCAAATGCCACCTCCTCAGGAAAGCCCTCCTGGACCACTTCGTCTAAAATAGCAACTCATCCCAGCCTCTGTCACTCCATCCCATTACCCTGTTTCCCTTTGTTCTTAGCACTTACCAGATGTTGGCTCCAGGAGAACAGGGTCCCTGTCTCTTTTGGTTTTCACTGGACCTCAATGCATTGTACATAGTGGATATGCAAAAATGCTTGTGGAAGAAATAAATAAATGCATATTGACAACATCAACTAGATTTAAGCACAGCTTCTGGTCCTCAAAACCCCACATCACACTGTGATACAGGGAAGGCACATAGCACCCCCACAGGACAGATGAACACGTGGAGACTCAGAGGTTCATGTGAGTTGCCTGAGCACCCAGCAGGGAGGAATGAGCCAGGGTCCCTCGTGATTTCTCCTGTGCTCCATCAGTCCTCTACCTTGGAGGGAGGAGAGTGGGTCTCAGGCACGTGAGCTCCTGCGAGGAGCTGAGACGAACCCGGCATGTGGGGTGCAGCCATTTACTCCTTGGCCTGCTGGTTGAGGGAGGTTGAGCTGTGCCGCCGTCCAGAGCTCTGCTTGCAGTGGACGGGGTGTGAGGTGGGGGGCGGTGAGGAAGGTCTGTCCATAGGATGTAACCAGACTCTAGTCAGTGGCCGGTCAGTCGCGGAGCTGTGCGTTCTGGAGCGGGAGTGTGTGGGGGGAGGACGGGCAGCGGGAAAGCTGGAGCCCCTGCGGAAGCTGCGACTTCCCCAGGGCCAGGGTTTGGCTGTGACATTCTGAGCTTCATCTGGATGCTCTCACTGTCCTCAGCCTAAGGCAGGGGCTGCCCTCCGACTCTGGGCCCAGAACCGGGGTCAAGGGCTCTGCTATGGAGCCTGGGTCCCCTCTGCTGTGCTTGGGCAGGCAGTGGGCCTGGAGGGGGATGGTCATCTGTCCTCAAGCGGGGGGTGACCAGGCCCGGGGCAGGCTCTGTTTCTGGGCACCCAGGGCAGGCGTCCGGGGGTCAGCAGCATCTGCTCCTTGATGGATCTGGCGAGAGCTTGATGGATTCTGTGAGGTGATTCTCTAAGATGCTCTGGTACTGGGGAAGGAAAGAGAGGCCAGCATTCAGGTCCTGAGACGCAGAGAGCACCGCCCGCCCTTCATTTCTTAATGACCCTCAGAGCCCAGGCACTGGTTTCCTTCCCATCGTACTTCTGGGAAACTGAGTCCCGGACGGGGAAGCCACTGGCGTTCCCCAGCCTCCTTCTTCCTGTGTCTCCCCTCCAGCCTCTTCCCCGGACCCCAGAGCAGGTCAGTGTCTCAACTAGCAGCCCAGGTCTCCTGACCTCCAGCCAAGTCCTGTAACTTTCCATTCTCCAGAGGGGACAGCTGAGGTGTCATGTGGGCTCTGGCAGAGAGGCGGAGGCCACTCCTCATTCTCCTGGAGACCTCTTCCCGCAAGCATCCCAATACCCCCAGCCTCCTCCTCTCCTGTTCACCTCCCAGCCTCCCCTACTCGTGCCTGGAAAAGCCAGTGGACCCTCTGTCCTGGCCGCGTCCAGGGAGCCCTCCCTACAATGGACTCCATGTTTCTCCTGGGCCCCTTTGCTTCTCCAGCCTCTCTTGTCCCAGCAAGGGTCCAGAGGAAGCCCCTTCTCAGTCTGCCAAGCCTATGCCCTCCCAGCCGGCTCTGCTTGTCACCAAGAGCCTTCCCCCATCCCAGTTCAGGGGTTGGGGTGGTCAGCGGGTAGGGGCCCCTCTTTAAGCAGATGGGTTCCTCAGGCTGAAAGGTTTCTTTCTCAAGGGACCCCATCTCTTCACGCTGCTCTGGCCTCAGCTAGTCCCTGAGCTCAGTCGTGTTCATGTTCCTCCCTCAGTCCTGTGGGCCTCAGAGTGAGTGAAGAGCATTCACTGTGTGTAAGGGGTTTGCGTTATATTGTCGTGGACCTAAGCAGGTGCGGAGCCCCCTGGGTGTCATGTAAAACTGTCCCTGGCAGTCCATCTCAAGTGTCTTTCTCAGGGGGCAACCTCCGGGGACAGGGGTGCTGCCTCTCCTCTGTGATTTTATCTCCCCTGTAGCTCCCAGGCTCAGGCCAGACGCCCAGCTGGTGAATATCCCCAAACCCTTAGTGCTCATGACCCTGGAGCTCAGGAGGTGGTGTCCAGCCCTGCCTCCTGCACCCTGATGAGGGTGGTCCCCCAAATACATGAGAAGATCCCCCCACACCCATCACTCACTGCCACCTCCAGGCTGAGCAGTAATTTACCCGATGGCACAGAGCTTGTGGTGCTGAACCTGGGGTCCAGTCCTTCTTCACGGGGTTGGTTTCCTGGGGATCCCCCATCTCTCACCCCCACCCTGGTAGGATCTTGGGAGCAGCAGAGGGAGCGCCGACTGGGGTAGTTGTGAGAAACGTGCTCATTTGTTGCCTGGGCAAAGCCTGAGGTTTTCATGGCAGTGCTGCCCTAATAACATCCGCGCCCTCCCCGGGTCCAGGTCACCGCTGAGCCCTGTCCATTCATGACGTCATTTTCACCGACAATGTGGCAGCGTCTTGTTCCTCAGATATTCCCAAAGAACCTCCAGGCCGTAATTCGGTTTCCATGTCATCTGACCTCCAGGCCCCAGGCCTCCCGACAACTTGTGCCTCTAACCGTACAAATCATACAATGCCATTCCGATGCTTGCAGCATGTCAGCGGGGGTGCAACTGTGGGAGTCTGTCCCTGTCCCCCTGTCTGGCCACCTTGGTGGCCTTGCCTTAAGCCCTGCATCCTGAGGAGCGGCCAGCCCACTTCCCTCCTCTGGATGTGGCAAATCTGGTTTTTTCCAATTAACCCCAAAAGAACTGGGCCTCTACGTGGTATCTCATGCCGCTGGGGCCTGGCCTGATGACCCCCGGCAGGGATGGGATTGCTAACTTTTCCTCCCCTTCCCCTTCCCCT